ATCTATGGGTTATCAGTTAACAGCTTTAATTAAAGTAAATTAACAACAACATCAATAAAAAGGRTTTGTCATGGACTTTGATTCGGCCATTCATCAGATGGACTTCAATTAGCCCTGAAATTGTATCCAGCCGACTACATTACAATAATGGAAAACATTTCTGCGGCAAAACAAAGCATTTGAAAAAACCATAGCAAATTGGTCCATTGCTTTTAAGAGCGAGTTCATTATTTTTGGAATTTAAGAAAAACTATTTGAAATATTTTGCGACATCTGTAGAAATGTTCTCAAGGCGTTTTTAAAGAATTGTGCTCGTTAAAACAGAAATCGTTCTTGTTGGCTTAATTATGTTCTATAACATCATTTCCATTTTACTATCATTTATTTTGAATACGGGAATTGTTTTTTCAAAACTAACGACCTTTCTAGAATTACTAGTAGGCGAGACAAATTGTCTCAATTCACAAAAATGCGTTTATAAAAAATAAATAAACTGACAATTTATTTATACTGGATGATTTGAATTTTCTTAGTTCGCCAGAGATAAGAATTTAAAGATTAATGATTGAAAGGTCGAAGCTTAAATTAATTAGGAATATATGTATTGTTGACAAATTAAAAATATTTTAACATGGTATGTGATTTGTTTTATAAAATTATACCAAGCCGTGCAATAGAAATACGATCAGTTGCTTTGATTTTTCTAGTATTGATTCGTTGATTGAATTTTAGAATTCGAATTAAATAAATTCATTAGATATCGGTTTTCTGGTTGAGACAAAACCAGACTGAGATAAGACGSCGTGTTTCAAAAATCAAATAAAATTTCAGTTAAATTAATGATAAAATCCCYCAAATCTCATGTCTTGATCAGCACAAAATGCTGTCAAACACGAAGAAGGCWGTTGAAATACGTCGCAAAATGAATTATCCGTCAATTTATGACAAGCTAAGAGCATTACTGTAGGTAAATGTATTTTCCAAGGGGTCTTTTGGAGACAGGTGTTACGGACTAGAGAAACGCGAATGCCAAATTACGAACGAAAAATGTAGCGGAGCAAAGCTGCCGAAGGTAATCAGATCTTAAAAATTACACTTCTTCCTACTTACCCGGCGAATGTCAAAAACATGTACTCCCAGCATCTGCAAAAACGCTAGTCGATGACTACACGATTGCATGACCAAAAAAAGTCTCTCCAACTGAGGTTTGACAGCGCGCGAAGTATGACGTCATACTCGTGACGACATTCGGGGTTTCGCCGCGATTAGACTGAGAAACAACATATGTCTTTTCGCTTTACCATTGCTTTAGACGATTTATTAACTGTTGCTGCAACCGTGAAGCCCCAACAAAGCACAAAGAACATGCCGCTTCGATTGTTCTTGCACAACTAAAAAAATCTACGGAAATGCTTGAACGAAATCTTGATGTTTTTCATTACATATTATAGTATTCCCAACACCATGCTAAGAGCGTAATCCTTTTCTCGTACAAAACAAATCCGTGTAAACCATACAAAGTCTTTTGTTATTTCATTGAAAATTTTCATGGTTTTATTTTTATATCCTATTCCGAAAATGAATACAAAATAAAATTCAATCACAAAGGTAGAAAAATAATTTCATTGCTTACGGATGTATGCCTTATTTTATTCGAGTATTTTGAAAACATTTACAATCTTTGCAAAACAGGATGTTTTTGAAATCGTTCTACAAAAAAGCAAAAAACAAAAAAATCCCTTGGATAAATCAAGTTGAATTAAAAATTTTCTTTCGTAAATATCTCAGAGGTCAAGTGTTGAGAATGAAATTGCCGTAGTAGTAGCTTATGGCGGAGTGATTGTAGCTAGCAGAAGACGTGATTTGTAGGATCTAGAAATATTTCATATCATRAATGCTTTTTTTGATTTTCATGCCATTGTAATAAGGCATTCCATTTCGATGGCAAGTATCGACGAGCGAAATCTAAGAATTTTGCCAAATGGTATATATATAATTTGTATGCGTAAAAAAATGATTGTATTTAGGATAATTATTCACGATCAGAACTCACAAAAGGGATTTGCCCAAATCTTGAATCATTTCATCCTCCGGGATTTGGAAAAGCTTTTACTAAACGAAGATTTCGAGATATCATTCAATAGTTTAGAAGAGAGAGAGTCGCGAGCTTCTAAAACCAATCTAWGAGAGCTGTCAAATTTCATTAATTTGTGAAGCCGAGCTGCAATAACTAATTTTTGAATGTTAAATTGGAAAACAGGCTTACCAATTTGTTTGYGAACTAAAAGACCATCTTACACAATTGATTCACGTCTTGTAGGCTTTGATATACGCGACGAAGATGGTGTGCTGTAAGTTGAAAGTGACATGACAGATCCAGGCTTCTTCAAGAGGAATTGTCCGCCATGTTAGTTGTAGGGTGACCAGGGCATCAAAATCTGGAGCGAAAGAATGTGAATTAGACATCAGGTCTCATGACAGATAGGCGATAGAGAAGGCGATGACAGGCATATATTATACTGAGGGTTTTCTTAATGTAATTATATACGCTATAAAAAAATCTCCAAAAACATAACCAATGTAGGTCCGCTCACTTCAGCGATTCTGTACCCAGAATCCCCAAAATAATACATTGATAGCTTCAGCAATTTAATAAGACTCCAAGACCAGTCAAATTTTAAATCTATGCCAGAGGTTATAAGAATGGAATTGACGGATTTATTTGAGTGATGAGGGACAGATTTTCTATGCATCATATTGSCTCACTACCTTTGCAAGCTAAAGACGTGAAAGCAAATCGACTAAGGAGAGTTTCTGTCTAAGCGAGTTTAAAACTGTCAAAGTAGATAAAGGATTTCTCAAGCTTGTTTTACGAAAGCTAACAAAGCCGTGTATTGTTTTTTAGTGCGTTTAAGTATCGACAGATGTACTTCGGGGATTTAATAGTCCGCAGATAAATCTCCAGTGAATGCGTGACTGGATATCAATCGTGACATCTTCATATCTTGAGCCATATATTAAATAGCAATRGTAAAAGAACAAATAAGTAGACCAAATATATAATTTCTTTACGAAGATAATATATATACACCTTTTTTTTTTTATTTCAACTGATTATTTTTCACTATCTTCAGTTTTATCATCATCTTATAAATTAAAGCAAGTTGCATGGACATTTCTGCTGACGGCTTTAACAATATAATAAAAGAGACATAATCAACCCTTTCAACAAAAACGGAATCGACAACAAAAGATAGCAACAACAGCAGTAACCGCAGTAACTAAGCAACATCAACAACACTAACAACAACAGCAAAAACAACAACAGTAACAATAGCAGTAACAACAACGTTAACAGTAGCAGCAGCATGCAACAGCTGCAGCAACAACAGCAGAAAGAGAATAACAGCAATAACAGCAGCTACAGCAACAACAGAAGCAACAACAACAGCAACAACAACTACAACAACAACAGTAGCAGCAACAGTAGCAACAACAACAACAACAGCAGCAGAACAACAATAACAGCAATAATAGTAGCGCGGCAGTCATAGTATGAGCAACGAATGAACAGCAGTGCACAGCAACACCAGCAGCAACAATAATGTGACAGCAGCAACCACAGTAGAAGGAGCAGCAGCATCAAAAGTAGCAGTGCACAGTAACAGTAACAACTGCAGCAGCATCATCAGAAATTAACAACAACAGCAGCTGCAACAACAACAGCTACAGCTACAGCTACAGCTACAGCAGCAGAAACAACATCAACAACAGCAACGACCCTGTCAGGAATCGAGGGTACTGACAACTAGCAACCGACTACACGCGGACGTCGTCTAGTCTTATCTTCACATTCGGTCGTCAAACTGCTTTCGGTCATTTCCGGAGATACCAAAATTGACGTTGAAAAACATGGCAATAGATTGTTCTCAATATTACTGGTSCTTTGGTTTTGACCCCATTTATGCATCATCACAAAGTCTGATGAACAATATTTGACAAATGATGCCTCRAGGAATGCATTATCACTTATGCTTACAGCCGAACGATCTTCGACCTCATCGATACCCTGCAACCAGATTCGCTTCGTAAAAAAAGAWTAAATTCTGTACAATAAAGGATAATACATGGGATCGCTTCTTTGATTGCTGATGATGAGCTGCGATGAAAACAAATAACGAAAAGAAAGAAATATGAAGAAAGAAATTTGAAGTAGTAGCAGGGGAAAAAAAGAAAGAAGAAGAAGAAGAAGAAGAAGAAGAAGAAGAAGAAAAATGTCAGCAACAACAAAATCAAGGCCTCATTTCTTAGAAATACTTCTTTTTTTTCTTTTYTTTTTTTTTTTTTTTCTTTTTTGGGCTTTTTGTTTTGTTTTGTTTTGTTGCGTTTTACGTTTAGTGCCTTTTATACCTCTTACAGAGCATTATCAGCTTGCTTATCTTGAACCCCAGCAAATCTCCCTCCGGCAAATCYAAGAACTTAATTACCAAGTTCAATTATTCGTATCATTGGATACAACCTTTTTCTCCATAACACATTAATTTTGAGAGATTAAGATTCTAATTCTTCAAGTAAGCCGGCTCTCAGAAGAAATATTTTAAAAAAAAAAAAAAAGAAATGTGAAGATAAATTTGAAAAGAAAAAAAACAAGAGCGGTTGATCACCAATGGAAATTATTAGGTTAGGGACGATCGTTTATGGAATACAACATAGTTTTAAGTAATCAGTTGTCGAACAGAATATTATCTACAGCTAGAAAATCATACTCCTATAGGCATGGAATTATACGCGATAAATGACGTACCCTTTCAACGCGGTGTCCCGAGGCTTCAGCAATCTAGAACACAAATTTGAAGTTTTATCTTGAAGAACGTTTGAAGTAATCTTGATGTGTAATTGCAGTAAGTATTAGTCAATGTTACGGAAGAGAGCGATTTTACCGATGTTTGAAACTCAAGTTATTCATAATTAATAACGTTTTGTTCATAAGATTCTCATTTGATAAGACACTAATTGAATTGTGTAAGGTGATCATTGAGCACAGCTTTCTCTTTGTTTGAGGGTTAACGCTTGCGTCGCTACAGCAACGAAGCAACGTTTTTCAGTTAATTTTCATCGCTCACCTTTATAAAAGAATTAATATTATTTTTTTWTTTATTCATTTTTATGTAATTTTTTTGAATTTTGTGTTTTGTTTTTGTGCAAGCAGACAAGCTCACAAGGATGATATTAAGTTTTAAAAGAGAGCATTACTTCTACATACAGCAGGAGAAGAGGTGCATAAAATCGTAGAAACGTTGCCTGCCGTCGGCAAAGCAAAATATTATAAAAAGTTCGTCAAAGCATTAGACGAATACTCTGTTCCACAAGACAGCTCTACATATTCAAAATTACCTTTTCAGGTGCATGGAACAACAAGAAAATGAAGCCGTAGGCCAATTTGTCAAACGACTACGACGAGTCGTTCAGGTTTGTGATTATGGTGATTAATCGGAAAATCAAATAAGGGATATGGTTTATAAGTATAGATATGTTGCTGGAGTATAGTAAGAAGTATAGTATAGTATAGTAAGGGTTTTGAGATTACAACCATACAAGAATTCAAGGTTGCATACATTCCAGAAAAGCAAAATGTTGCTGACTCCCTATCGAGACTGACACAGACGGGAGGAAAGGAATCATCACCAGAGCAGAAATAAGCAGAGCTATTTGTCAGATTTGTGGCGGTCGACGCTACTCCTCAAGCAATGACTACGAGGGAAGTATAAGAAGCATCAGCAGGAGAAGAAGAGTTGTGTGAACTGTGAAAATGCATCAAAACAGATAAGTGGAAGAAATCTAAATGCAAAGAATACATACCGCCAAGTGTAGAGTGTGCGTCATTGGGAAKCTGATTTTGAGAGGATTACAAGAATTACGAGAATTGCAATTCCACTCAAACTGAGATCCCACATCCTGAGATTATCCCATGAAGGACATCTCGGTGTTGTCAGCATGAAGCAAAGTTTAAGGCAGGGACCGCGGAGCATATTGAAAAGTTGGGGAGAGAGGGGGCTTGCATTTGAAAATTAAGAATATAGCTCAATCAAATTTCGGGGGGGAACGTTTTTTATTTTTTTATTTATATTCGTATTTTTGGCGCAAAAAATGGAGGTCTGCAGACCCCCCCTGTAAGGTCAAAGGTATGGTGGCCAGGCATCACAAATGATTTGTACTAAGCATTAAGAAATTTTAAATGCGTTTAAGAAATAAAGTATTATCATTATCACTATCATCATCATCATCATCATTATTATTATGTATTATTTGTAATAATAATAATAATAATCTTTATTTCACAATACTTGACCTACATTTTATCAATTTTACAAGTTTTCACAAGAACCGTATTTTTACCGCAACGAAATTAAGAAAGTGCTTTGGTAGCATCAGAGAGAAAACTAGCTGGAGATCATTAACTAACTAATCTAGTCATATATAAAGGCCCTGAACGACAAAACCAAATGTTTTAGTTAAAAAAAAAAAAATTTTATCCTAATTCTTCATTAAAATATTTTTTTGAAAACTTAAGCTTACTAGATTTTGAGATTCGATTTTACTAGTTTTCATGTGAGAAAGATACGAAAATCAAACGACAAACGTTTTCGAGAAAAAAGCATATTTTTAGTTAAACTTGACAAAAACAACTGAGACAAAATAAAAATAATGCAAGATGCAATGCAAAATACAAAATACTTTTTTCAGTAAATTGGCATTTATAAATGTTTTTAAATAATTTTTAGCTTTTGAAAGTGAAGACAAGGTACCGCTCTTTATACGATACTCTCTCAACAACACAAATTCATGTAAGCTCATTTGTATGATCATACTAGCTGGAAAACCTCAATTAATTGGCGAATATTTTTATTGCTGTAATTTTATATGTTATTCAATATTTAAATAAATTATCTATAGAATTGTATTAAACTATCAGAATGAAAGTCTTCTTTTGCCGATAGGACCGCTCGATAAATAATAGGAGGTGAACAAAACTGCTTTTTCTGGAACGAAAAACATACAATAGTTTTTAAAGAAACGAATTCTTCATAAAGATTTAGAGAGCTAAATAATTAAAGGGCGTATTCGTCGCAAGTAGTATGAAAGTACCAGTTCTACATAACCCCAGCAACGGTGCCGCACCGGTKCGAAAGAGGGGTACATTTTTAGGCGCACATTCTGAAAGGGGGGTGGGGGTACTTTTCAACCCCCAGATGGATTCGGCTGAATGACGTCATAAGTAGTTCGCTATTTGGTACCTGATGTTTACGTTATGATCTAGGTGGTGAGATTTTGATATAATTTTTCCCTTATTAAAAATATATGTCTCACGGCCCGGGTTCGAACCGACGGCCTACGGATAACTGAAAAATAAAATAAATAAATAAATCACTTTTATTTAAGTGTCTAGTCGTTCTAGCGCTTTCGCACTAATCGGGGACACTTTTCGCTCACACACACTACCACTACATTCAATATTCTATGCACACAACGCTCAACTCACATGTTGATTTTTACGGAGGGAGGAAACCGGTGAACCMGGAGAAAACCCTCGTAGCATAGGAGAGAACAACACATCAAACAAACTCAATTCACATGTGGCGACCTCAGGTGTCAAACCAGAGACCCGACCCGTTGGACTCACAGCGGTGAAAGACGACGCGTTAGCCGCGAACGCTACCCATGCTACCCTACTACATACTACAGTCCGTTGCTCTACCAACTGAGCTACCGCGAATTCTTTATACTATTACGTAAGAGTTAATTACCGAGAATGGAGGCAATAAGCCATATACATCCCGAGCTCCGCAGACCCAAGGGATGTATAGGCTTATTGCCGACGTTCGAGGTAATTAAGTATTTTATTTATCAATTGAGAAGGTTTTCTATCAAATGTTGCTCATTATAAATGCGAACGGTCTATATATAGTTATTCAACGATTTGATAACTATATATTGACCTCGCATTTATAATGAGGGTTATAACWAAAATAAAGCCTTGTGAATAACAAAGAAAACCGTGTCAATAATACCTCTTAGTATACAAATAGGGGTTCTACGCAATTGGGAATCCGGATTCATTGCGGATAATCAATTAGATCCGGATTTTCCACTCGGTCGCCTTCGGATCGTGGATTTCGGATTCATAGGGGTTTTGAGATCATATTCTACATTTATTCTTGGGGCTCTTCATACAGAGAGAAATTTCAAAGTGTTTTTCTAGTTTTCGCTTGATCTTTTGATCTGCGTGATTACCAGTTGGATTCGCCTCAGTGCAACTGTCGCTGCGATATGCAAATAATTGGACTCAGCTTCATGCATCGAGAAACTTATGTGAAAAATTTCAAATGCCCTTGGTGGGAATCGAACCCACGTCTTCGGTATTCCAGTCCGATGTGTTAACCACTACACTACAAGGACCAACCACGCTGGTAACGCAGCCGGAATATGAAATGTAGGGTACTCGTGAGGATTCCAGAGCGATATTTTTTCTCAATACGTTAAGTTGAACACCGTAAATATGTACGCAAAGAATAGACATAGTATAGTAGTAATAAATTATGCGTTCGGTGTGTGTAATGAAAATAGACCAGTATAGTAGTAATAACTTTACCTTTAGAGAAAAATTAGTCCCAATAAATATATTTATGTGATAATCTTAAATGTCCTTGCAATATGAAGCGTACTCGATATTACTGATAACTGCAATCTCCTTTGTCTTCTTTCCAAATAATTTCCGTAGGTTATCTTCCATGCTCKTTGATCATCCTCCAAGGGCATCTATAATTATGTTATACTGGTTGACTTTCTATTCTGGAAACCTCTCTTTTAATTCCCATCTTAAAGGACCGTATTTGGTAGTTTTCTCTTCATCTTTCTTCTCCCTGTTGTCAATCCACGCGCAGCTCATCTCAAGAACGATGACCTCTTGGGTGTTAGGTTGATGATCTTGGCGTCGATTCTGTTTGCTTTCATCTCTTGGTTTTCTCCGTACGTTGGAATATCCCATAGTGCTTCTACCTCGTTCGACCTGTATTCAGGCTTGGGTTTGTTTGGTCAGTACCATGGTGGTACTGAATCTATAGGTTCCAGTTGTAATACAAGTTCAAAGTATAATACTTTGAGGACGTTGTTGTGCCTTGACAAATATTTGTTCTGCGCCAACGCTGAACACCGGGTTAGCTAACAGTGGCGCCACGCTCTCTTGTGCTTTTCCGCATAAACGGCAGCAGACCTCGTGAGGTGGTGCTGTTTTGTCTTTTTGCTGTAGTATAACTTCATGTGCAATAGYTGCTCACACAACTTGCACATGCCAGTTACAACGTGGGTTATTCATGATGTCCAGTTTTTCATCCATAAGAAGCAGTCTTTATTGATTAAACTTCATCGTCCCATCTTTCGGCATTCAGCTTTCCTCGTCACTTTCCCTCTTTCACCTCGCTTTTCAGCTGTTCAACTTTCAGTTTCTTAAGATGTTCACCCATCTTCGTGTAAGGGATATGAATTCCTTCTATTGTAGTTGCACTTGTGTCCGGGTACTCTAAGTTGAGAGTGATACCATATTCTTCAGCAGCTCCTTGAGCATCTTTTAGAAGAAATAGTCTTCCTTTCTTTACAGCTTGCTCTTCAAATATTCTAATCACAGCCATCGTCGGGTCATTGTTTGTGTACAATTTTACTGCCGCCTTGATCTTGATAGTTTTGTATTCAGCTTCAAAACAGTTTGTCATGGGCATTTTGCCATTGTTTAAAGTTTGACAATCAAAAGACAAGCAGACATTTTTGTAAATAAAATATTGAACAGAAGTTTATGTTTTTGTGTCATAGAGTTTACATTTTGCTGCACATGTTTAACTTCACGAATCCTCAGAGTGACTTAACACTTAAACTTAATCTTGTTTAATTTGAAATATTAAAAATTGTTTTTGCTTGTGGCATGTTGTTCCTTTATAAAGATATTGAGTTCCAATTGTAGGCTTGGAATATTAATGGGCAGGGACATTTTTAATTTCTAAATGGAATTTGAACAGTTATTTATAAATTTATAATTATCAAAATTGCAAATATCCCAAAAATGTGATTTTATAGGTAATATATTTTTTGAATCACATTAAAACTGACCCATTTCTGGCATTCTATGGGGAGAGTAAATACCCCAGTATGTGATTT